TAGTTGCAAAACGAATACTGTACTGGTGAAAGACAGATATACAACTGATGGAATAGAACAGAGGACCAAAAAATAAACTTACAAACAGCTATAGCCATCTCCCTCCTCTTTTTACAAAGCTGCCAAAAACATACAGTGGAGAAAAAACAGCCTCCTCACATAAACGGTACTGGGAAAATGGGATATCCATATTTAGAGTAACAAAATTAGATTGTTCTCCCTCACCCTGTTTAAAAATCAATTCAAAATAGATCAAAGACCTTAACAAAAGTCTTGAACCTTCAAAACTGCTAGAAGAAATTAGGGAAAACATTTTGAGATAAAGGTATAGGCAAAGACTTTTAGGTAAGACTCCAAATTTAGAAATAACAGAAAGAATTCACAAATGGGACTGCATAAAATTATTTCTGTGAATGTATGTGTATTAGTGTGAGTAGATGCCACCTGTGTCCAGGTGCCTGGGTAAGCCTGCAGAAGGCACTGGATCCCCTGGAACTGTAGTTACAGGAGGTTGTGAGCGGCCTGATGTGTGTGGTGGGAATTAAACTTGGGTTCTCTGGAAGAACAGCAAGCACTCTTAACTAATGAGTAATCTTTCTTGTGCTGGGGCTGCATAAAATTAAAAATCTGTAAAGGAAAGGAAACATCAGCAGACTGAAGAGATGGTCTATAAAATCGAAGAAAATCTTTGTCAGTTATATAGATGATGAGATCAATGCATAGAACATACAAAGAACTAAAAAATTAAACACCAAAAGAAGTAATTCATCAATAAATAGGCAAGAAAAATGAAGAGAAAATGAAAACTACTCTGACATTCTATCTCACTCCAGTCTGAATGGCCATGATCAGGAAAACAAAGAACAAATGTTGTTAAGAATGAGGGGTGCAAATGTACAGTGATGTAGCAACTATGGAAATCAGCATTAAGGTTCCTTACAATCTAACATGTGATCCAGCTTTGTTACTCCTGGAGGTACACCCAAAGGAATTAAAGTGAGCACATCAGCAGGGATACTTGCACACCAGAGTGTACTGTGGCAACATATGGAACCAGCTTAGATGTTCATTAAGAGACAAACACATAAAGAAAATATGGCATGCAAACAAAATGGAGTTTTATAACGATGTAAAAATAATAAATTGCATCATTTTCAGGAAAAATGATAAAACGCAGTATCAACAGGATAAATGAGCTATTTTTAAATATCCAGACACAGATAGACAAATATTGCATATTTTTTCTTACATGTGGAATCAAGATTAAAAATACAACCACCCTCAATGTATTTATTCTATGAAAAAAAATAGTGACTAACTGAGAGGAGGAAGGGGTTTAAAGATAAGAAAGAGGGCAGAAGTAGACAAGAGGATGCAGTGGTGGGGTGAGACCAATTATCATATGCTTTCTCTTATGCAGACTCTAGACTGAACAGGATATATCTTAAATATATGAAAGCTCAGGGAAACTGGGAACAGGAAGATGAGGCTAGTGGGCAGCGGGCAAAGGATGGTTGATGGGAATCTGAACAAAGTACAATTATATATATTCTGAAACTGTCACAATAGAATCCATTATTCAATAGTCTGATATTTTGAAATGTTTACTGATGCAATTTGTGATAGTCCTGAAATTGTAACATTTAAAAACTGTCATACCTAATGTATGTGAGAGGCTACTGACATGCTGTGCTCACTCACAGCTGAGAAGACAGTCTTGACATATATATTTACTTGGCCAAATGACTATTGGTAGGAACAATGTTAAGATCAAGCACTGTGGAATGTCGTTCTATACACTGTGAATGTGTTGCTCTGATTGATAAATAAAATGCTGATTGGCCAGCGGCCAGGCAGGAAGTATAGGTGGGATAAGCAGACAAGGAGAATTCTGGGAAGAGGAAGGCTGAGTCAGGAGTCACCAGCCAGACACAGAGGAAGCAAGATGATAAGTCATAACTGAGAAAAGGTACCAAGCCACGTGGTTAAACATAGATAAGAATTATGGGTTAATTTAAGTGTAAAAGCTAGTCAGTAATAAGCCTGAGCTAATGGCCATACAGTTTGTAATTAATATAAGCCTCTGTGTGTTTATTTGGGTCTGAGAAGCTGTGGACTGGGCAGGATACAAGAAAACTTCCAACTACAACCAAGGATTGACACCTACCAGAAAAGAGGAATTATGTATAGATTTTAGTCTCTATATCATTTAAATAGCTTTTAAAATGAATTTAACATACTTACAACTGATTATTTATCAGACACTAAAACATTTCATATTTTCAATGATCTCATGGCTATTTTAATACAATTTCTTTTCCACCTCTTCCTTTGAAAGATTAGACAAAATTTTGGTTCATCGTAGATCTTATTTAAGTATTCATATGTATAGGCTTTGAAAGACTGAAGGATTTAGAGTAAAAATATCCTTTGGAAAATACTAGCACAATAATGACTTTATGGTTGATCCTGAAATCATGTATATGGAATAATACAATAAAGTTTCTATGCTTATGAAATAAATCATATAGCTCATTCAAAGTGTTAATAAGTTGTACATTTGTATTTTTCCATCTAAAGATGCTCATTACCTGCATATGGTAAGCCTAAAAGAATGTGAGTCAAAGATATAAGATAAGTGGAAGCTGCTTAAAACCTATTTTTGTCTATGGAGGGTCAAGACAAAGGAGCTAAAACATGGCACCTACTATTTCACTAATTTAAGGTCTTTAACATCATCTGTTATGCCAGCTACCATTATTGAGAGTATTTTAATGCTGGACCAGGAGAACTATTATGCAGCAAAAAAGAATGTAAGTTTTAATACCTTACTCCTATTCCTTTTCTGCTTTTGAGTCTGAGTTTCTGGGCAGAAAAATTAGGATGTTGTATAACTATTCTCTAATGTTCATTGCAGTTTAAATATGCCAGTGTTAAGATTCTATGAATAAAACTCTTAGACAATTATTTCTATGTGTGAGTATGTATGTGTGTCTGGAGACAAGAGGATAACGTTGGGTGGTATTCCTCAGAAGACATCCATCTTGTTTTTTGAGAAAGGGTTGCTCATGAGGACCTGAAGTTCACCAAATAGGGTAAGGTGGAATGGCAAGTGAGCCTCAGGGATCCCAGTGTCTCCATTTCCCCAACACTGGGTTCACAAGCATGTGCTAATATGCTTGGCATTTTACATGAGCGGTGGGAACTGACTACATATCCTCATGCTTGTATAGTAAGTACTTTACTGATGGAACTGTTACTCAAAACCTAAAATTAATTCTTTTGTATTGTTTCTGTCTTCATAAAAATAACTAAGAACTATATTTCATTTAGAAAATATCAAGTACAACTTTTGGGTAGGTGGGGTTTGATCACAGTACTTACTATTTATTAACTACATGTGCTCAGGAGCTTAGTCTGCTGGAAGTCAATGTCAAAAGACAACTTCTCAGGTTATTAGAAACGGAAATTGATTATAAACTTACTACAGTGGGGAACAACGCTGCTATAGTGTTAATACTGAATGTTCCCCAAAGGCCTAGGTCTACCCAGGGTGGCACTGTTAGGAGATGTCATGGACCTTCCAGAGCAGAGGCCTTGCAGGATACTTCGGTCACTGGGGAAGGTATGTTCACGAGGGGATTGTGGCCTCTAACCTCTTCCTTTTCTTTATACTTATTGTCTCCTGGCTCATGAGGGACATCGTTTGTTTTGTCACTAGCTCTTGCCATGATGTGAGGCCTCATTAAAGGCTCCAAGTCACAGGACCACTAGGTCATGAACTAGAATTTCTTAAAGAAAGATAGCTGGGCATGATGGTGCACCTTTAACCCCAGCACTAAGGAGTTCAAGGTCAGCCAGGTCTCCAAAGTGAGTTCCCATTCATCCAGGTACAAACAATGAGACCCTGCTTCAAAAAACCACCTCCACCTCTTCCACCTCCACCACCAATAGCAACAATGACAAAAAACAAAAAAAGACCAGACATTTTTTCTTTATAAGTTAATTATGTATTTTGTTATAGTGACTGAAAGTGACTAAGACAACTACATTTCCATTATTTTCATAAACTTTTCTGAAAATCAAAAAGCTAGGTAGAGCAGAAAACAGATCAAAGTGATTATTATTTAATAACCCAAGGATAAATTAGGTTATTTTGAGCTACAGACACTTCGCATCTTATGCTATATCCTAATAAAACATTGCAAGTTGAAAATATCATTAATGAAAAATGTATTTAAATGGGGACATGGTGGCATATGCTTGTAACCTTATCACCTGGGAGGCTATTGCTGGAGAATCACAGATTGAAAAGGCAGCCTAGGTTACATAGTGAGATGTTACCGAGAGAGAGAGATAGAGATAGATAGATAGATAAATAGAGATGCATTTGAAATCTAATCTAATCTAATCTAATCTAATCTAATCTAATCTAATGTACATCATAGCTCAGCAATATGATAAATGGTTTCTCTTGCTATGTGACTGACTAGGAACTACAGCCTCCTTCTGTACTCAGCTTTATAGGACAATGTCATACCACATATTACTAGTTGCAAACTATAAAAATGGACAATCTAAAATGTAGTTTTCTGGACATGTGGGATACCTTTATAAAGCTGGAAAATTAAGTCAGAAATGGTCTCTATGAATTTTCTACAACACACGGTTACAAGACATTAGTTATTTCTGATTCCTAAGAGAAAAAGCATCAGAAGGACTCAGAATTGTCTTATTTTTCTGATTTAGTAGTGCTGACAGCACCGTCTTTTGGGTAGAATTCTGGTATTTAGAATAAAAAACAGATGGCCTTTTCCTATTTTTATGAACCGAAAGCTATCTAGTATTTTATTCTGGTTATTAAGTCAATCATAGTTGAATAGAAAACAGGGACAGAAAGGAAGATTCAAATGCTGGCAATGGAGAGTAAGCATCTTCCTTTAGGATGCTGTACGAGTCTTTCTTGGAAGACAAAGGCCAATAGACAGATATGACAGTACCTCGGTAGTTGATGATTTCTGTACCAAGCACCGGAGTCATCTCCAGGACTGTAATGAAGGCTTTGTCCATAGATGTCAGAGGAAAAGGAGACATGCGATGTCTTCTAGCCACCTTGGTGATATCTACAGCACTGTGACCTAAACAGGAGACAATTAACTGAGAATAACACACGGGTACATTGATTAATAGGTAAGAATGACTTTAAACACCCAAACTTCCAATCTCGGGGTCCTGGTGAGACAATATTTCTCCTGTTTCTGACACATGATTGTAGAACATTAAATAATATTAGAAATGTGCCAAAACATTGTCAAATTTGCTAATATTGGCTGATCAATGAATGTTGACCATGGGTCAAGTAACTATTCTAGATTAACTGCTAATTCCATGTCAGGGAAGGTTCTGTTACAAGTCTTTACAGCTGAGTAAAGAAGCTTAGACAGGCTTTATATCTTCGCCTAAGTCACACAACCGGTAACAAAAGCACCAGGATATAAACCTTAGGTAGTTTTGGCTTCAGGGTTCATATCTTCAAGTATTGTACTGACCTTTAGATATTTAATGAACTAGTCAGCAAAACAAACTTATTTAAGATTCACTGGAATTGTTCCCTTTCCTGTAAAAAGTCATGGAAGATCACACGCAGCTGTCCACTCTTAGGTAACCTTATTTAGTCCCTCGGCATTCAGATCATACATTCAGGAAAACTGCTGATTTTGTATCTCTGATCTCAACCTCCACCCTCAACTTTACATTTGTATATTACCTAGGAGCTGGTAGATAATGTATTTTTCCAGGCTAGTAATCATCTGACATTACTTGAATATGTAATAGACAACCCAAACCTGAAATTTCTAAAATTAAGCTCTTATTTCTAACCTCTTTTACCACCCACAGGATGTTTTATTTCTCTTGTAATTCTCAACTCAGCCATTCATTTACCAGTTTAGTAACTGGGCCAAACAATGGAGACATCCTTGTCTTGTGTTTTGTCAGAACTCTAACTAAACTACCTTTAGAGTATACCTAGAATCTGACAATTGCTGACTACTTCCACTGCTACTACAGTACCTGGAACATCATTTATGTCCTGGTAAACTGATGGCCTCTTCCCTGTTCTCCTGATTCTTTCCTTGTTCCATTCCGTTTATTTACCACATAGTTAGTTATGTGATCCTAAGTTACAACATATTAATCTATGCTCACAACTCCCAAAGACTTTACATTTTACTTACATTAAAATCTTTGTTAGTGTCTATAAAGCCCAACATACCATCACTCTCTTTATTCTTGTCTTCTAACATTTTTGGTTTACTGTGCCCTAGTTACACTGGTTTCTTTCTTTCAGTGATCATGCCATGTCTCTCTCTTTAGGGCCCTTGTGCTTGCAATTTCTCTCTTGGACCATTTTCCTTCCAATATTACACTGGCACCTAGGCCTCATTTCTTTCAGTTTTTAGTATGTGTCACCTCATCAGAGAAGTTTTTGTGACTATTCTCTCTATAATGATACACGCCATCATTCTTTATTCCCATCCCTACTTTACTTCACACATAATACATAGATATTTATAGCCAAATATCTACCATACATACTTGCTGAGCTCATAGAATGACTCATTTGATGATGGAGACAATTTTGTGTATGTGTGTGTTTTCACGTGTGTGCAGAGTCATACAGGTAGGTGAACATGCATGTTTGTGTGTGCGGAGACTAGTGTCATTCCTTAGCCACTTATCCTGTTCTTTGTTTTAGAGGCAGGATCTTTCATTAGCCTGAGGATCACTAAGTAAGCCAGAGCTGGCTGGCTAGCAAGCTCCAGGGCACTACTGGGCTCAGCTTTTACATGTGGGTTCTAGGCATCAAACTTAAGTCTTTATGTTTGCAAGAAAATCTCTTTATCAACTGAACCATCTCCTGAGCCCCAAAGCAGACTTCTTTTACATCTTTTTTTTTTTTTTTCTGGAGCTGAGGACAGAACCCAGGGCCTTGTGCTTGCTAGAGCGATTAGTCGCTCTACCACTGAGTTAAATCCCCAACCCCCCCTTTTTTTCTCCTAAAGCAGACTTCTTGATCACTGCATCTTACCCTTGGAGTGCCAAAATGTATGGAGAACAAAGGAAAATGGAAAAGAGAAACTACAAGCCCTGCTGCTTGGGTCTCCTAAGTGGACTCACAGTTCCCTTCTTTCGTAGCCAGTTCTTGGCTGGATGAGGTCTGTGATGTAATTCTGGACAACAAGATGTCAGAAGAAATCTCTGGGAGAAGGTATTTTATTACAAATACTAAGATTAAAATAGACTGATCCTTCCAAAACAAGCTTTTGTCCTGTCTTCCATCTGGAACATGGAGGTATTGTAACCATTTTTCAACCATGAGTTTTAACTCTGCTGATAATTTTGAGCTGCTTGATAAACCTTCTATTGCTTGTCTCTGGACTTTCAATATGTGAAATAAATAAACTCTCATTTCTTTAAACTACTTTGTAATGATTATATATGTTCATCCCTCAGAAGACTATAGTTTCTGGTTGTTGTATCTTGCTAAATTTAGTGCATCTGCCACAACCCCAGCAGCTGCTCCAAATATGCTCACTGTATTGACTGAAAGGTACTATCACAAAGATTTCCAACCTATGAGTCAAGAGTCCCTCCTCACACACATAAAATTGCTTATAACATTTACTTTATGGACAATAAAAAAATTACAGAAATTTAAAGCTCGAGATGTTAGAAATTTTTAGTGATAAATTTGAATAATATTTTTTATTCACTATTATAGTTCAAAACTTAAAAGATTATGACTTATCACAGTTAAAATGTAAAATTAATTAATAACCTACTTTCATTGAGGTCTGAGCTTAGTCAATCAAATATTGTAAAATACTTATGGTCATAACCAGTATAAATGGAAAAAACGATAGTGACTTTCTCCTATTCAATCATAGAGATATGCAGATTTCAGCTTTGATCTTTTTGTGATTATATTACATATTATGTATAATCCTATAAAAGCTGTCCTTCTAAAATGTTTAGGTTTTGAGAAACTTATTATTTAGTCGTATAGCATTATTTGTTGAACACTATTTGCAACAATAAAAACATTTTAGACAGCAAATTTGACTATTACTGAAAACACACATCAATCAACACCCATTTATCAAGTGTACTTTACAAACCAGATACTCAAGGAGTTGGGATATGCAAAGTAACATGGACCCAGTCATGAAGAACACCATAGTTCAGCAGAAAGGGAAAGTATACAGTTAAGTGAAAGGGTAGTGAACTGTTAGATGGGTCTTTAACTACAAAGGTTGGTAGTTTCTCTCTCTCTCTCTCTCTCTCTCTCTCTCTCTCTCTCTCTCTCTCTCCCCCCTCCCTCCCTCACCCCCCCCTTGTTAGTTACAGTGTAGGCATCTACTACCCATGAGAAATCCCTCCAACTTCGAAAATACTATCTCTTTTATAACTTCTTTTGGCACTTGCCCTTCTCCATCTTATGCTACGTGTATTTAATATCTGTCTTACGATTGTTAGTGGATTATAAACATGAAAGCATAGCTTATCTTATTAATTTCTATATCCTTTGTCACTTTCAGAATAGTGCATCTATTAAATACTTGAGATGAGAATGAAAGCCAAATGTTTAAACAAAGTTCAAACTTGGCTATAAAGAGAAAAACAGTGCCTTCTGGTGATGTTTTACTTCTCTAAGTATAGAACATTTAAAAAATGGTTCGAGACCCATGGCCTGCAAGCCCTCTTTGTGCCTGAGCCACCTTTTCTGGATAAATGTAATTACCATTTGTCTTAGTTAGGGTTTCTATTGCTGTGATAAAACACCATGACCAAAAGGCAAGTTGGAGAGGCAAGGGTTTATTTGGCTTACACTTCAGCACTGCTGTTCATCACTGAGGGAAGTCAGAACAGGAATTCAAATAGAGCAGGATCCCAAAGGCATGAGCTGATGCAGAAGCCATGGAGGGGAGCTGCTTACTGGCTTGCTTCCCATGACTTGCTCAGTCCACCTTCTTATAGAACTCAGGACCAGCAGCCCAGGGATGGCACCATGCACCATGGGCTGGGTCCTCCCCCATGATCATTAAATGAGAAAATGCCCTACAGCTGGATCTCAAGGAGGCATTTCCTCACCTGAGGCTCCTTCCTCTGATGGCTAATTTGTGTCAAGTTGACACACAAAATCACCCAGTACACCACCACCTGTCAAAGAAGCCTCTCTTTACAGCAAATGGAGACTACCACAGAAAGTGACAACTAGACACAGTGCATCACGGGGAGCACAGACACAACGGATATATCTATAATACAGCTCCTGTATCTATAGCTCAGGGAACATCACAGAAGAGGGGTGGAAAGATTATAAGAGTCAGAATACCAGGAAGTCTGCAGTGAAACAGTTGTTCTAAAATGGTTGCATAAATAAGACTGGAACACTGGCAGTATTAATGGACATATTAATGTGGAAGGGGCAAAATTTCACAGGGGTTCCAACCCAGATTAAAAAAACAAAACAAAACCAGGCAACTAATGTGCTGGGAGAATAATTAACCTCTTCCCAAGAATAAGACTCCCTTATTGGTCACTCCATACAAAGGGGTCTGCCTTGAAACCATATATACACAAAAACCCAAATATGGACTCAGCAGGACGTATTTATATATTTGTGCACCCATACTTGCTTTTAACTAGGGAATCCACTCACAGCCAAGGAAGTACAGCAAAAACCGTGCCAGATGCTGCTGGCTTGATGGCTCACTGTCAAGCTCATGCTCATATAGCTCCCTTATACTGCCCAGACACATGGGCCTAGTGAATGGTCAGTGGGTTGGGACTTCTGATGTCAATTAATAATCAAGCACAGATTACCCACAGGCCAATACAATCCTCAATCTAGGCCCTCCTATCAGGTGTTTTCTATGCTGTGTCAAGTTGACAGAGTTGACTAAGACAAATAGAGGAAATTATTTTCTATAAGCCAATCTACTTTATGGTCCCAAATGAATTCTGATAGCTCCCTTACAAATGAATATTTGTAATTTGGTCTGAAAGAGAATCTCTGAAAAGCTATATTGAATTAACCCCTACTACAGAACAAAACAGACATGAAAAATCTAGT